TATGCTGTGTGTGTGTGTGTGTGTGTGTGTGTGTGTGTGTGTGTGTGTGTGTCCCTGTGTGTTTTTAAAGCTGCAGTAGAGGTTATACTGTTGCTTTTCGCCGTGCATATGTAGTCAATTACGTTATCTATGATATTTGCATTTATTTTACCACCCAAAGCCTTTGCTGAGTCTTTTTTGCTCGGTAACTTATCAAAACTGAGTGTTCCCTATCACAGTCTACTTTGTCTTCCTCTTTGTGTCTTGTATCACTGTGACTGTCTCCCACTCTGTCTCCAGTCTGTCTGACTTTATCTCCTCCTCTCACTCTCTGTCTATCTGTCTTTTTGCAGGAAGAGAAGGGTATTTCCTGTGGACTTGTTGATTTGGACTTCCTCAAATGCAGCGTGGGATTTCCCTTCATGAGAGCGCAGACTAAGGTAGCTCAAAACAAGAGAGAACTAATTGCATAATGTCAGAATTGCATTGGTTGCAGAACCCCTGGTTTATTCTCTCTTTTTCTCCCCAGTATCGTTTTGCAGTGATTTTTGACACGAGTCAGCTCTCTGGGGAAAATGACACATTACAGTTCTTAGTTCAAGCAAAAAGGTAAGTCTTAAGAGTCTCACATGTTAGTGCATATCAATAGTTTTTTTGTTACCTGTGAATTAAATTATGAATCCCCTTAAATGTGCCCAACTTTATGCCCTGTAGAGCAAATGCAGTTTTGTGGAGTTTCATCTTGTATACCGTAAATTAATTGATTTACAAAATGACTGAATAACTTAACTGTTCCTTGTTTGTTGCAGCGCCAATCCTGAGCACAACCTCTCTGACAACAGCTTGGATCTGTCCATCCCTCTGGTTCATGAGACCGACACGACAATTACTGGGTATGAACAAGACGAACCATAACAGCGTCGTTACTATTATACAAACTTAAAGCTGAAACCAGCTTGAACTGGTTTCCCATCTGTTGGCCGTTGGGAGGAGAGGGAGTGTTTTTTGTCAGTATGGAGCATGTCAACTTGAAAAGCCTTATCTCTGAAGGCTTTATCATAGCTCTGCTCCACAGGGAAGGGAAAGAGATGTAAAACAGCCCAAATCCGGCACAAGTCTGACATCTGATAAAGCTGCTGTGTGTGCTGTCTGTCTTTGTGAGGGGAGGCTTCAGAGCAAAGCTGGACTCATCTGACTCATATCTCAACTGCTAAATGAATCTCTGCTGTTCAGCTGATAACATGACTGAAGCCAGAGATGTTCATGAGGCTATTTTTAAGGTTATTGGAATAAATAGTTAATGTGAATGCATCATCTTTCAATCTCTCCGTTATCTGCAGGGTGGTGACACCAGGCTCCTTTGTGTACGGAAACTACATCGATGCCTCTCGCTTCGTCCAGTTGGAAGACATGGAGTGTGACTTTCAGCCTCTTAATCTCACTTTCCAGGTACTGCTAGCAGAGACCATGTTGGATTTTTAGTATTTGGACATGCTTCTCTATATATTCACTTTTCTATCCCTTTGTCTCCATCTTTTCCCGTCTCCGTGTGTTGTGGTTCCAGGCCATAAACAAGGGGCCCAGCAGGTTGCCTGGCTCCACTGTGGACATCAGGATACCCAACCGGCTGGCTGGCAGCGGAGCCGACATGTTCCACATCATTGAAACACAGGTGGATGCCAACAGCAGTCTATCGCCATTATTTATCTAGACCAAATCATTATTTATTAGTTTATTCGCCTGCAGGCAGCCGTATTTTTAGCTCATTTATCCTGCATACTCCTAAGCTTCTCTTCATGGCACAGCTGCCTGTGTCCACCTCAGAGGACACTTTTATGTATAGACAGACGGCTGCTAAACCCTTGGGCTTTTTGTCATGGCATGGCCAATTTGCTTAGTGTGAGGCACCGCTGGGGCAGTGAAAAGCAAAGCAAACGTGTTGACGTTGCTACTGAAGCTAGCCAACCATTTAGTTTCACAACATTTTGCATTTAGATAAAGAAACACAATCCTCCCACTGGGTTTAAATGTTTTCTTAACCCTTGCATTGCTCCTTTCATAGAGGTAGATCATGGGGGAGCTCAAGCTGATAATTGTGTATACTGTGAATGGGCAGACGGGGTTCACTGTATCCCACCCTCCTTGAGCCCATCTGGAATCACTTTCAGGGGATCAGACAGCTTGCACGAAATGGGAATGGGACACCTGCAGAGCTGGCTACTGCCCAGTACCATCCCCAGCCTGGAAATACACATCATTAACGCTGTTAACACCGTGTCTAGCCTGTGGCACACCGGACAGTTGCACACGTATATTTTATAGCCAGATATTCTTACATTTTATACAGACCTCCATTTGTTCAGACATGATATACAAGTTCCCGACTGTTGCTCCATACGTACAGGTTTTTCTGCACAAAATCCCTCAATCGTCATTGTTTAATGTGAATTTTCTGTTCTCGTGAGGGTAAAAGTTAGTGCAGCCTGCGATTCTTCACACCAGCAACGGCAGCGGAAAGACAGGACATGAGAAAACAGCGCAATAAAAGCTCAGACATGCTGGGTGGCAACAGAGCAGACAATGAGGAAGGCCAGAGGAGATTTCCACCTCCCGAGCTTCAGGTCGGACTGAGGAGAGGGGAAAGGGGAAGTGTTCCCTGGGGGCTGGCAGTAAACCAGACACCTCTAAATCACTCCATATGGGAAATCTGGCTGGGAGGGGTTACGGCTTCTTTTTGGGGAGAACTTCCTCTGAGCCCTGGAGGCTCATAATAATAGTGGGATTGGGCCAGTTTAGGTGACTGAAGAGCTGATGTTTACATTTTTGCTTTCAAACCCCAAATCTTTGCAACATTAACATGACAAACTCCTGCTTTCCTCCTCAACAATGACATGTATCCTACGTTAACTAAACTCTGTTATACCCAAGTCTTCATTAGTGTTCATCAGATTTGATTCAAGATGTAGTCAACACAATTCTCCCACTGTCCTGTTTCAGGTAGCTGAGGGCCGAGGGAACTGCACCCCTCACAGTAACCCGACACCGTGCACCGTCTCCCAGGACAGAGAGAACATCTTCCACTCCATCTTTGCCTTCTTCACCAAATCAGGACGCAAAGTCTTAGTAAGTATGCAGCCCCCGCGGTGCACTTTGACATTGCAGAGGTCACTGAGTGTCGCCCCATGTGAAGGTCCATGTTTTTGTTTTGTTTTTAGTCAGTGCAACATCTGTTCATCATACATGCTTCTCTCTCCCACACACTTTCCCCTGTTCTCTCCCACTCTCTGTTTCATCTTCTCTGTCTTTTGTAAAAGGACTGTGACCGGCCTGGAAGAGCTTGTATGACAATCTCCTGCAGTCTGGGCCCACAATTAAAAGAGGAAGCTCTGAGCATAGATATGAAGCTTCTCCTCAACACTGAAATTCTCAAGAGGGTAAGAAGCATGTCAGAAGCTTGTTAAATTTAGTTGCAGGTTGTTGTGATTCTAATAGTAACAGTAATCCATCCTCTCTCAACCCACAGGATAGTTCCTCTGTGATCCAGTTTGTGACAAGGGGCAGCGTGCAAGTAAATGACAGGGCAGTGGAGGTGCCAAATGGCCTGCCAGAGGACATTTCTGTGAGTACAGTGAATTCACCCTTTACCTACATTAATTGTAATATTTCAGTCAAATTTGACAGAATGCAAAAAAGGTAAATTATGGCACATATTACATTACATTACAATTCAGATTCTATCATACCGTAGGCACAGCTACAGGAGCAATTTTGGGGTTAAGTGTCTTGCTCAAGGACACATCGACTTGCGTCTAGTGGAGCCGGGGGCCCTGCTCTCCACTTAGCCACAGTCGCCCCATAAAATAACTACAGTTAACATCACAATTACGTGATATCTAGCCGAGCAGCTTCCGGTACCAGGTGTTCTTTTTCTGTGTTTAAAAACTACTTAAAGGAGCTCTTATCAATATTTTTATTTTAACAGTTGGTCACTATTTTACGGTAGTTGCTTACAATGACAAACCCACAGAATTATCGCCACACCCGACATCAGCTATTTCCCAGCCGGGGCCCAGCAGTGGGCCTCAGAGTGCCATCTAGTGTGCCACGGATGTACTGCCGAATGATTTCGATAGATTAAGGAAAAAAAATATATATATATATAATTGTTTTTTTTACAAAGCTTGTCATTTTTATTTCTAAATGTGCTCAAGAATTCACATAAATAAAAAATGTTCAATTAAAATGCATAATTTCAATGACGAGTGAATATCACCACGCCAATCACCAGATATCATCAGGTAGAGACGAGCGTGTTGTGCCACTGTTAGCTAGCTAACGTTCCTTCAGATGCAGTGACACAAAATCGATCGGTTTTTGAAACTAAAAAGTGATGTGGGAGACAACCAGTAAAAGCTCCAAAGCATGGGGAGGAAATATGACCCTGAAAACATTAAATCTGGATTTATAAGGGCAGGCAGTGAAGCGTGAGGGTAAGCAGAATATTTATTTGGTCATTACAGACAGTGACATAACACATATTTACAGCCAAATTATTTTTTTTCATGCATATATATTTGTATCTTTCGCTGCACAGTCCATTGTGCTGTGTTTAGACAATGCGTGAGCCGCTGTTGTGAGCCCAGAGAACAGCTGGGGACTGTGGGTATACTCTACGGTGGCACTTCTATCGGCCTCTTTTCGGGGTCCTCAGCTGTGCTCAGGGACAGACCCCCCCCCCTCTGTTGTTTGCTGAGTGATTGAATGGCCCACCAGATCACATGTGATGATTATATTGAGCACCCAGCATGCTCGCAGTGGGATCTCTTAAGTGATTAGGCTGCTGACCGGGGCTGCAGCCCTGCTGACCCTGAACTTCAGAGGTGCTCGGAAAATTCAGACCTGCTATGAATATGTCCATACCATGCTGCTCTTTCAGCACTTACTTTACCCTCCCCCCCTTCTAGGTTTTAGTAAACACAGTTACCTTTTCCCTCAGGATCCCTGCTGGCTAGAGTACACACTGGAAAGTATGATTTGTGGTCCCTGGTTGTATCACTTTTTAATCTCCCTTGACATGTAAACAAACTGACATAAATCTATAGGATTCTGTTGCGAGTACGCAAGTTACAAACTTAGTAACTTCACATTCAATTTGACATTCCTGGAATTATCTGATTGCACAAGTTAAACTGGGAAAGTCAGGGTGCAACGACCAGTCGAGCTTTCATCTGTCCTGTACACACAAGCGCCTCGGCATGCATTACATGGATTCCAGAGCTACGAGTAAGGGGGAGGTGTTAATTTGGGAAACTATTCAACAGAGATTAATCTCCACTTGTCCGCTTGGTTTTGTCTTGGCTCACAGCTGGCGTCTCATGTCACATTTAAGTTCAAAGGATGTTACAGCACTGTACACTGAAGCAGTGAATTCCTCAGTCATTTCTGAAATTGTCCCAGCATTGTTTGCAGTAACAAATTAGGCAAGCTTATCTGACATTTGGGAGATTACACATGATTTGCCTTTGTTTGAGACCATTAGTAAATATCTACATCTATTTTATGATCCCTGTGAATGTGATGTTTTCCATTTAAGGCCTGAATGCTGACAGTCAAGCAGGCTTAGCTGTGATGCAGAGTAATGCAATATTTCACTAAAGTCAAACCGCTGTTGATTCAGTGCAAATTATTTCAAGCGATCCGTGTAATTGTGTTGATATGACCAGAAGTATTGAATAAATTCAAATCAACTTTTCAAAGCACAAAGTCAAAGTGATTATTTTACTGTCAAAATAAATGAAAGTCATGATAATCAAGTAAGAATAAAAATACTGGAGATAGAAAATGTAATGGAAAAAATTCCTGTACCCACTTTGCATGAGTCTTTTCATGCTGAAATACAAGATACCAAAAACCAGGTTGTCTTTTAAGTATTTATTCTCTGCGCAGAGAAGGTTCAATCATCACAACAGAATGCGTGCAGTCTCAGTGAGGAAGAACCAAGGAAAAAGTGAACAAGCTTTCTTAATACAGAATGAGCAAAGGTGGGGGCCGTTGGCCAATGTTACAGACATTTCAGTCTCAGACTTTTGGTCTCAGACTGATAGGAACAACATTCAAAAACAAACGGTCAGCAACCAAAGCAAGCGGCCCAAAGGCCTTGGTGCTGGAACATTCTCATACAACACAGTTAGTTATCTTTGTGAACAGGCAAGGGAGAACTCTTCTTCTGCACAACAGAGACACGGTGAAGTTCAACAAAGTTCAGAGCAAAATTACTTACGCATGAATACGATATACTGAGTAGAAATATATACTAAGTAAGTAGAAATATATACTACATGAAAAATTACCATTACAATAATGATTTTAAATTATTATGTTTTTGTCAGCGGAAACGACTTCCCTCCACTTTTAGCTAAGCGTTACAGTGTGCATTGGGTTAAGTGAACTGAGTTTGCTGTCAGTGACAGATTATACAGCAGGTCAGTGTTCATTCATGTCATGGGAAACAGCCTAAATAGCTCTTATTTATTGTGGAACCAGGCTATTTTTTTTAAGAGTTGCCAAGCCTCCCGAGATTTCTCTCAGAACCGTTTTAAGGCGTGACGCTACAAAATGAAAAAGGGGGTGGATGATTTTTTTTTTTTTTGAATAGCACTGACCTAATAAGATAAAGATGTGTTGAGATTGCACACACAGAGCAGTGTATTATGAAACAGTGATGGTCAAGCTTACTGACTAGCTCTACGATGTGATGAAGACATAAAGGGCAACATCTTGTTAGACAGTCAGCCTACAGATATGCTAGCGCCTTTGTTAGGCTGGACTAAAGCTAATGTCAGCTTGCTAACAAACAATGACAATGATAACATGCTTATGTTTAGCGGTTATCATTTTTTTTTACCAAATTTACCATCTGCAAGTAAGGAGGCTAACATTTGTAGCAGTAATCACACAGTACAGCTGAGACTTTTAGGGGTGGTAGTTTTACAGGTTGTTGTCATAATCATAGTACTGGGCAAAGTCATTTATTTAGATCGAGAGGAAAAGTCAGGGGATCACCAAAGTAGGTAAGATTCATCCTCTGGAGACCATGAATGCCTGTAAAAAAAATCCATGACAATCCATTCTATTGTTTGGATATTTCAGTGTGGACCAAAGTGGTAGACCGACCGACGGACTGACATTGCAATCCATTGAGCCTTGCTGCCAGCTTGGCTAAAAATGACCACTTACCATGTGGATGAAAAATATTTTGAGCATATTTATCCAGTAAACACTGATTCTGAATCTACATTGACTTTGACTGTTTTTGTCTTTTCTACTGAACGACACGACTGATTGATTGAATGCGGTCTGTGTAAAATAAACTCACTACATGCAGCGACTCTTCAAATCAAGAGTGACACAGCTAAAGCGACTGAAAAACGACGTCTTGGTAGTTATTGTTGCACTGCATTGCATCATTAGCAGCACATGACTTTATGATTACTCTTGTGTGTCCGCCTGTGTGTGTGTGTGTGTTGTATTTGAGTGTGACTCACTGACTGACTACAGTGTTGTGTTTCAGCTGGTCTTCGAGGCTCTCCACAGTCAGGAGCCGAAGGGTTACGTAGTCGGCTGGATCATTGCCATCAGTCTGCTGGTGGGAATCCTCATCTTTTTGCTGTTAGCTGTGCTACTCTGGAAGGTAAACAACGCGTAAACACAGACTGTGATTTTTCATTCGTCAACAAACACAAAAGACACAAAACTGCTTGTTTCTCGAGCAATATTTGAAGTGCGTAAGAGATAGTTGTCACAAACTTGTCACAACCAGAGGCGTTGTGTCCGCACAGTATCCAGTTGTACAGAGACAGCTGGAGGGAAGAGGTGGGGGAGAGCTGGCTTTGGGCCTTTAACATCCATGAAAATGACAAATCACAGACTGGACAATCATTCACATCATACCACTCACACATGAAAGAAGACTCTAAAAGGGAAATGGCGATTGCACTGATGTCTAGAGGCCCTGTTAGCACAAAACCTCTTTTCTTTTTCGCTGCTTCATTTTCCGGCGGGAATACCACAGCGAAACCTTGGAATGTAGGTCCCCCCCCCGATCCCCAGGTCCTCGGACCTTGCCAAAATAAACCCCACTTACAAGAGCAGCACATGTCCAGTATTGCTCATTTCAGGAAATGCCTGAGGAGAGTACAGGTCTGAAACAATAAACGTAAGTAGTGAGACGCAGATAAATGAATGGAGTCGTAGTGAGAGAGGCATCATCCCAGTGTGGCTGCCTTGTTTAGATACACACTAAGAATCTACTGCTCTCTCCAGCCTTTCATATCTCATTTATGTTACGCTGGGAAGTAAAATGTAAATTTGGGTGCAATATTACTTTTCCAAAGAAATAACACATTTCTAAAGGGAAAGGTTTGATTTGCTTCCATCCATGCCTGTGGCTTTGTGTGGTTTAGCCTGTTAACTTCAAATTGTGAATGCTTTGCAGCACTGGCAGCACTTTTTCAAAGCATACCATTCCATGGTGGTTTACATTGATTTCCTATCTATCAAACATCCATTGTTTTCTATTTGTTTCACTGCAGGATACATTTCCACCTCCAGATGTTTTTAACTCTAAGATATGTTATAGTCCGTCGTGATGAACTCAATTTTGACTCAATAATAATAGCTCAAACCACATGTTATTATTGTATTAATGCAGCTTGAAGAAGAGACTGTTTTTAATAAACTCTCTCATTGGTGATGCGTTCAGTGACACGCCTGAGAGTCAGCTGCTGGATAACGCTGCGTTCACAAGCTATGTGAAATCAAATCCAGAAGTCAAGCAAGAAAATCCATTTTTGTTCCTCTCGTTCTTTGACAGATGGGATTCTTCCGTCGGCGCTACAGAGAGATCATTGAGGCTGAAAAGAACAGGAAGGACAGTGATGAAAGCTGGGACTGGATGGAAAAGAACCACTGAGACTTGTAGTGGGGGTCCCACAGGAGCCAATGAGATTAGGGATTGGGTCGAGAAAGATCCAATAGCACGTGGTCCTGCAGCCCAGCCGCCCCAGTGGCACCAGGCCCTTCAGTCTTCCATATGTGGAAGAGAAGAATATTCTCCATATTTTTTGGAGACTTGATCTTTTTTTTGTGGGTGGTGGTACAGGAAACAGGCTTCTGAAGTGACCGTGTTGCTTGCCAGAGGACACTTGCTGTGGAATTCAGCCAATCTCAAATGAGGTAACTCTCAGCCAGCGAGAGCGGAGCTGTTGATGGAGACCCACATCCTTACGGGGATGTGGCGACAGCATGAATACTGGTGGACAATAAAACCCTCAGGGCTGTGTTACATAGCAAATTTATTTTTATACATACACTTTAAGCCATATTGTATAAAACCGGGCTTCAAGAAGAGATGTGGTTTTGACGGCCATTATAAACATACTGTATCTCCAGTATGTTTTTCTAAAAGCACTGATGTTTGATAAGAATGAATGCCTTGGCTCCATAGCTTCACTGTTTATGCCAAAGATATGTCCTGTATAGTATATGATTGGAGTCGTTTGTATATTCAGTTCTTCCTGGGAGTGAAAGATTGTATCTTTTCTGTATTATTTCCGCCTTGTGAATATCTGGTTTAAACATCTGACTCCCGCTCTCTCCCACAGATAACAAGCCAGAGCTAATTCTGCCTTTTAGACCCACACACACACACACACACACACACACACACACACACACACACAACGATTAAACGCTGTGTCCTCATGTCATCCGCTAGTGTTTTCAGGGTTGTCGCAGAGGCGCTGAGGGCCCAGTAAAAACGCTCTCTGACGCCATTAGGATCTAGCTCAGGATGTGGTAATCAACCGCACAGTTCTCTATTAACACTCTATTTGCCATGTTTCCTTTATTATCAAGGGTTGTGAATTATACAGTCACATTTCAAGCTTTGAGACTTTTCATAAGCATTCCATTTGTTATGGTCTGGCTTTTAAACAGTTGTTTGTAGGTGTTTAAAAGTGGATGTAACAAAGTGATTTTGTCCATTTTAAATTTGAATGAACAAATGCTTTGAAAGTGCAATGTGTGTGGGGAGTAGAGTGAATTATCTGACGCTGTTTTTGCCAGGATCTGTTGCTCAGGTTATGCAGCTGACTTTTTAGATGGACCCCCAAAGGTTTTCAGGTTCAAGTGAAGACTGAAATATTGTAAGGTATGATTCATATACGTCATGACATAAGTCCTGATCATGTTTAATTTCCAAAACATTTCCAGACATCTCCTAAGCAGACCATATTTAATTTTACTATTACGTTATTAGTCATTGGGTTTTAGTGTGAAATATGAGATACATTGCTCTCCACGGCCAGATGAAAGTCTGCGATGGGAGTCCACCTTCAGTCATTTACAGGGGCCCATGGCATGAGTAATGCCCTAAGAATAGGTGGGAATGTGCTGCACTCAATCACTTCTCATAAACGAGCTCTTTGGGGCTCATGGGAAAAGCTCATTTTAAGTCAACATGAAGGAATGCCAGCTCCCCGAATATCTGCCACTATTAAAGTTCACGGCTTGTCAGTACTCAAATTTGACCCCACATGTACTACAGAGTCTTTTAAAAGCTGGGTTTGATGCTGAATGAAAGTTTACAGAACACAGTGAATTTCATTTTATATTAAAGGTCCCTAAAGAAATAAGAATATTAACTATTTTATACATTTGTAGAGCTTAACGTTTTGGAGAATTTATCAGTGACAATGGGATTATAATTCATGATATCAAAACAGATATTTTTGCAGTAGTCCAGAGTCGGATTAAAACGCGCAATGCCCGAAAAAGAAAAACAAACAATATTTTGATATGTTTCACACAGTGGTAACACACTTTATGGCTCACTGTGATTGCTTGGCTTTCTGTTTTGTGCTGTATGAACCTTTTATTGATCCGATAGGGTTTATTCTATCATTTAATTCCACTGGCATGACAGCATATACTGTACACATTCACGTCCTCCCTCTGATGTTGTTAAACCGATGCTATATCTATATGCAGTGAAACCGACACTTGACAATTTTTTGAACTGTGATGTTTGTGGACACAGTCAATCACACCGTTATTTTGGAGTTTGGTTCTGAGTCTGTCACAGTACTGTCACTGAATATCATTTTCATTATAGTGTGATGTAGTGTGTATGTTTGATGTAGTAATGTTGGAGTTGTGTATTTATCTGTTGAAAAAATTTTGAGTGAAATTTCATGGCTCTGTATGCTGTTTTTGTCCAGTGCGGTTGTTGGTTATAGTTCACTTCTTTTTTTTAAGGTGTGTGGTGCTCTCTGCTGGCTGCTTTGATATAAATGTACACACTACATATAAACTACATATTCAAAGTTTTTTGAAAACTCTTTAAACTGTTTTTATATTTGGTTGAACAAAAAAGTTTTTTTGTGCAAAAACAGCATTCTAATTATAGGGGTCTAATTTCCATCTCCATCGAAGTGGCTAATGTACACATTATTTATCACGCTCACAATATAGAATGCTGCAGGAACCAGAAATGATATATATATATATATATATACGTATATGTCAGTTAATGCCGCTGTTGAGTGTCTTTAAAAAAGCGGTTGCTAACAAGTGGCTAAATGAGACTACACATCCTTATTGTTCCGACTAGTCCATCATCGCTGCCCTGTTGTGTATACTCATGCGTCCGTGGTCTAGTCTGACGATTGCATCCACGCTTCAAAAATCATAAAAGTGGTGTTCATTTGTGAGGATTATCTTGCTGAACTAAATTTGGATGTATCATAAACATATGTTTACCACAGAGCTTATTTCTGCAATAATCCAAAGGAAAAATGACATTGGCTTTTATCAAGGGAACCAGTGCGATGCTAACTGTTGGTCTACAGAAATATGTCATCCCTGCACCACTCTATTCTACTCATTAGGCAACTGAAGTCTGATTATTATTCCTTGAATTGTAGGAAGATGCTGGTTCCCAATGTCTCTTAAATATGCAATTTAGTGGTTCCTAAAAACACACTTTCATACAGGCTTAATTATATTTATTTATATTTAGCATGTCGAAAAGCAAGTGAAAAAAAGTTATATTATAGTATGTCAAAACAGTCATCAATGTATAAATAGTATATATTGCATGTTGATAAGAGTAATAAACAAGACATATAGTATATCAAAAAAGTCAGAGTATAGTATGTCGAAACAAATCACCAAAGTTATAGTTAAGCACGTCAAAAAGTCATGGTATGGTATGTCAAAAAAAGTAATTAAAAGAAAGAGTATACTATATTTAAAAAATCATCGTAAACATGTCATTAAAAGTCATAAAAAAGTAGTAGTATAGTAAGTCCAAAAAAGATCATTGTATAGTGTTTTGAAAAAACTCATAATGAGTCATAGTATCGCATGTAGTACATTACCTCGCTACAGAGATGAGTCCTATTTCTCTCCTTACTGAACAAAAAATAAAACCTGTGCATATACGTCAAGAAAGAAAGGCAGTTAAATGCTCAAGCTGGTCAGGTGACAGCAAAAAAAAGCGGTTGCAGTGTATGTGTTTGGTCAGGTGACCCCCAGTTGCTATGAAACACTGATACCAAACACAAGCTCCTCTGTGGAGCACATTAATTATCAATTCAGCTACCACAGTGAACGCACCACTCTTTCTTTTGACTAGAGAGAATCCTTCTGATAACCATGTCCTCTTTATTTGATCATGGGTTGATCAGGACTGCGGTGGTGGAGCAGGTGGTCGCCCCAATTGCAAGTAATTTATGCCACTTGGTGCTGTTGTGTGACAGTGCAGAGGAACCTGAGCAGTTCTGTCAGCTGGAGGGCGCAGCTCAGGCTGTGGCTAAAGCTACTGGGAACATGGCAGCAGTGGCATCCAGGTGCGTACATTGGGGAGTTTCCTGAGGTGTAGAAGAGACCGATAGGTGTAATGTATTATCAGATTAACACCATGGCTCTTTACTTCCAGGCAAATAAGTGACACAGAGGATGAGGTTTTGCACATGGAGATGTCGTCCCTATTGGAGTCAGTCACTGTGTCTGGACAGCATGTGCTGCTGGCAGCCCAGAAACTCAGCATTCAGCCCGGTTTGACTGAGCACAGAGAGGAACTCATCACTGCAACACAAAACGTCTTCCTGGGAGTGGCCAAAGTAAATCCTGGTTTAAAATCTGACTGCAAGTGTGTTACTAAATGCCAACCATTATACAAGAACCTACACATTTAAAAATATACAGACATAGGGAGGAAGCAATGGCTGCGGACACTGACTCAAAAAAAAAGGTTTCTATTCATTCCACAGCTGCATGCTTTATACTTTCCCAGAGGTTTGCTTAAATGGGAATACTACTCAACGCAACAATAGGACAAACTGCCGATTCTTTGACATCTTTAAAACTTTTTCAGTGCTTAATTTGTGCACACAACTCTAGTTTTCATTTCTAGTTTTCACCTCAGTCGTTAAATTTGATCAGTGCCATTATTGCCTGAATATGTAATAATAATATTCTCACAGGAATACAGTCAACAGTCATGTGTGAAATATGAATAAGCTGCTCTACGTGAGGCTAAAATGTCCGCCTGCTTACATGTTCACAATGATAATGACAACATTTCAGTCAAAATGGTAGACTGAGTCAATATTGCCCTCCACAGTTCTATGCTGCTATAGCATGGCTAAAAAGGCAAAGCAGTAACAAGTCCCCTTATCTGTCTTTCCTCTTAGGTTCTGTTAGTGGACGACGATGCTCTTGTCAGGAGAGTGGTAGCTGCTGCTGATCGGGTTTTGGAGTCCCTCTCTGAGCTCGGCTCCGCACCAGACATCAAGTCTCTGCTCAAATCTTTCCGGGTGTTTTCTGAGGCTTTGCTTTTCCTCAACAGTCTGACAGTTGAGAGAGCAAATGCCTTACGGGACCCCAGACAAACGAAACAGCTCCTTGATTCCCTGGAGACCCTGAGGAGGTGCATCTCCATGCTGCACACGGCCACGTGCACAACCATCAAACACCCCACTAGCGAGCAGGCGAAGCAAGCCAAGAGGTACATTCTGGACAAGGTGCACAGCACAGTGAGTGACGTTATTATGACTCTGAAAAGTGAATGCCACAGTGGATCACTGGGTCCTTGCGGGTATTACACAGGGAGGAGGAACAGTCTGTTGCAACTGCTCACTAGTTCCCCCACCTCCTCACTCCGAGGCAGTGGCTTTGACAGTGTGGTGAGAGATCTTGTGTTTCACTCTATGGTTGTGGCAAACACTTCTCGTAGAGAGCTTCAACAAAGAGTGGTGGGTCATTGTCGTCACATCCTGCAGTTCTGGTCAGACACAAAAAGGATTTTCAAGTCCACAGAGGATGATACGGAGCAGAGCCTTGAGAGTACCTGCACTTTGCTGGTGCAGCAAATACAATTGCTTGACAAAGCTATGACGACTGCTGTTCTTTATCAAGTCTTGGACGCATTTCCCACAGCATCGTCGACAGTTGAGGAACTTTTAAGCGTGTCGAGACAGATCCTGGGTGCACATTCCTCTACAGAGACGGATCTGTCCTTTATTCAGTCACAAGTCGAGGATGTCATATCTTCCACTGATAGAATAATCAAAGTGACAAATTTCATCTCAGCCGTCGCTGTCGATGCAAAGAGTTTGGAGAGCGTGGAGAACTCACGAGTGAGCCTCGCAAGGCTCAGGGCTCGGCTTTCACCTCTGTCCCTGGAGCTGGCCGATAACTCAATGCAAACTGTTCAAAAGATTCATGAGGTGTGTGAAAAATGGGAGGAGGAGACTAGTCAGCTTCAGGATGCTCTCAGTGATGTAATGGATGTGAGGGAGTTCACCAGTATTGCTATTGATGAGGTAGTCAATGATCAGCATGGATGTGACTCAGCGTACAGAGAGCAAAGCTTTCAGCTGTTTAATGAACATGCTGCAAACCTTATTTGTCACATGAAGCTGGTGGTTCACTCAGTGAGGAGGCACTTGGACAGAAGCGATAACCCCATCCACAGGAATGGTCTGCTGGTCCTGCTGAAACAGGTTCAGTCCTCTCGAACCAAAGTGAGTGAGTCAGTCAGAGATATGCTTTTAGGTTCCAGTCTAAACGTGGAGGCATATTCTACTTTTTCAGGTAATGTTTCCGTGGCTATTCAGCATTTGAAAGTGCTCAGAAATGGACTGGACGGCCAACAGCATCCACATCTCCTCAGCCCGCTGCGAGAAGCAGCACGTCAGCCTGAAATCTCACGGCCATGTGTGCCTGTCAAAGACCCCTGTGTACTGAGCCCGGATCATATGTTAAGAGGCTGTCATGTTTTAGAGGTTATGGAGAGGGATTCCCAAACCGAACATGAGGAGGAACACTCACATGAGGAAAGCATAGAAGCAGAACTGGCTCATAAATATGACTTTGATGATTTACAGATCCCAGCTGTCTCCGTTGAGCCCAAACTGATCCACAAACCTCTCGAATTTGACCTTTTACCCCTCTTGTATGAAGTTGTGACTGTGACTAAAGGGAAAGACGTGACAGCACTCAACCGGGCCTGCACTGGTGTTTTTGAGCTGTCAAACTGTTACGCCCAAGCTGCAAAGGAAGCCGTGGCCATTGTTGATGCAGTTGATTGTCAGACGTTGGAAGGTTTTAGGGCAGAGCTGGTGTCAATGACTCCGCTGCTCGTCCAAACAGCTCAAGAAACAGCAATGAGCTCCGCAATGAGCACGGTGAGCGTCTACAAACACAGCACGCAGTTTACTGACCTTATCAACAACACCCGAAAGGTTTTACTGCCAGTAGCTGGAACCTGGTATACTGCTGTTTACACTGAGCTGCAAGGAAATCTGACGACAACGGCGGCCACCGTTACGCAGCAACTAAATGAAGTGATGACTTTATGCGCTGAAGTAGTCCAGCTCTTGACATCGTCTGATTTAACCTCCCAAAGCGACGGCCAAGAAACATTCAGCGTTTTACACAACAAGCTGAACAAAGCCCAAAACAACACAAAGTATCTGATTGAGGTTTCCACCTCACTGGAAGGACAGGTGGATCAACTAGAGGGGCTCTGCATCCTCTGGGGCCTGTCTATTCAGGTTTTGCTGAATTCTCTTGATAAGATTTTGGGAACGTCAACTGCAATGAACCAGTTGAGCCCTCAGAAACAGCTAGCGGTGTTGTCGGAGAACTCGCTTCGAATCCAAGAGGCCGCGAGGTTGACCAGCCTGAGTTGTAGAAGTGCTTACAAATCCAAACAGTTAACAGGATACCAGGATGAGCTAAAAACCCTGACTCAGGCCTATCTCAAAGCTGCGGAGGAGCTTGACATCATGCCTAGTGTCATGCAACTTGCAAAATCAGATTTCTTCCAGAGACACCTTTTGATTAAAATCAGAGTGCTTTCTTCTCATTTAAGCAAGGCAAATAATGATTACGGCGCGGCACTTCAAAATATTGTTAGCATTGCTTATTTCGCTGCTGAACACTTCAGAGAGAACAACACGGAGGATGTGGAGAGAAAATTTGACAACGCAGCTGAAACGCTGTTTGAAAATGTCAAAACTGCGACCAAAAGAGTCGAGGACTGCTTACACTTCATCTGCAACCCACACGCTCGTTCCAACCTGAGGTCTATCAACGACCGCCTGTCTTTTCAGATCTCAGATATAATCAGCAGGGCGAGGCTCGTGGTAGAGACTCACTATATTTGTGACACACTCAGTCTGGACGTGCAGATACAGTGCTGGTCAGCCAAAGCTCACTATGTGGTGGAGGAGATCAGGAAGCAGGATGGGATTCACCAAGAGGCTAAAGAGCACATCGGGGCTGGTCTACGGGGCAGAACACCTGAGGATATCAAAGAAGTGTTGGCCACAGTCCCATCTAAAGTCAAAGAAGTGGAATTTCCCTCTGACATGACAATGACATCATGGCAGAGAGGCAACACAGAAAGCACAGATGCTGCAGAACCAAATGTTAATGTGGCAATCGTGGCAAAATATGGACCTGGAAATATTGAAAATGTAGGTATCTCATAATTAACACAATTTTAAATTCTGTTTCCTTTATGTCACAATAAACCATGTCCCTATATTTCTCGACAGGACGCTGTCGGATCTGGCACATACAAAGAGACTCTTTCGCTGACTTTCACGTCCCTTTCTCTAAAGCAAGAAAGTGACAGCTGGGATCCCAAAGACAACAAAATTGTCCAGATGACCAGGAAGATGGCTGACACACTGTGTCACATGACCAAGTACCTGAAGAAGAAAGGTCCAATACTGGTAACGACCACTAGAGGGCACTTTAACTGCCTTGCTCTTGATATTTGCAGGCACCCTCATCCATAATCATTCCATCTTTTTTTTCAGAATAAAGAGGCATTTGTCACTGCAGCCAAAGATGTGCTCTCAAACTGCCAGTCGGTCACTCAGTTCATCAGAGTAATTGCCAACCACTGCCTGGATAAACAGTGCGCAGTTGAACTCTCCCTCATAGTTGAGCAGATTCTCACCATCACTAACCAGCTCAGCATCATCTCCAGGTAAGAAGAATAAAGAGATAAATCACACGCTGAACTAAGCTAGAAAATAATAATGAAGAAAGTTCCTCATCTCTACTTAGTGTCAATGCTGTAACACCTGGGTGCAAATCCTCTGATGAGATCCTGGTGAAGAACGCGCAAAATCTGCTGCAGACGGTCCTGCGTGGGGTCCGCGCTGCAGAGACGGCCTGCATCACAGTAAATCTAACAACAAAATCAAATCTGTAACGATATGAGGTCTTTTCTATGTTCTGTATATAGAAGACACAGCTCAAACTTATATGTGAACCGTCTCGTTCCAGGGTTTGAAGCAGCCGGATCCAAACTCAGATGGTGCAGAGGCTACAGCCTTGTGTTTCCAGTGGAGGAGGAAACTGGAGATCCATCGAGCCCAGCAGACCTCTAACCCAGAGACTGATGAGCTGGGTTTGAGGAAGACCTCGACCCACCCGGCAGCACCCAGTCTCGCCCCGCCAGTTGGCTTTAAGTGACCCCTTCAAAGCACGAGTAGTATTTGTGTCTCAAGAAATAAGAAGCATCACAGATTTAGTTTTCTATTTGATATAATAATGTGAAACCCACTTAATCCAGACAGAGCACTTCACAGACTGTCATGTTCAAGGACATTATACAAGGAAGTATAAAATATTTTGTGTCGATGCTTAGATTTGATATAATGCTGGACATGTCACTGATTGTGTGCACGCTAAAATGAGACGATGCAACTCGATGTGTGACTTTGAAATAACATATTGTATGTTTGATGTCTTTATTTCAGTTATTCATAATAAAATCACTGAAAAGTGACAAGTATACAGTGGGTACGGAAAGTATTCAGACCCCTTTAAATTTTTCACTCTTTGTTTCATTGCAGCCATTTGCTAAAATCAAAAAAGTTGATTTTATTTCTCATTAATGTACACTCAGCACCCCATCTTGACAGAAAAAAACAGAAATGTAGAAATTTTTGCAAATTTATTAAAAAAGAAAAACTGAAATATCACATGGTCATAAGTATTCAGACCCTTTGCTGTGACACTCATATTTAACTCACATGCTGTCCATTTCTTCTGATCCTCCTTGAGATGGTTCTACTCCTTCATTGGAGTCCAGCTGTGTTTAATTAAACTGATTGGACTTGATTAGGAAAGGCACACACCTGTCTATATAAGACCTTACAGCTCAGAGTGCATGTCAGAGCAAATGAGAATCATGAGGTCGAAGGAACTGCCCAAGGAGCTCAGAGACAGAATTGTGGCAAGGCACAGATCTGGCCAAGGTTACAAAAGAATTTCTGCAGCACTCAAGGTTCCTAAGAGCACAGTGGCCTCCATAATCCTTAAATGTAAGAAGTTTGGGACGACCAGAACTCTTCCTAGACCTGGCCGTCCAGCCAAACTGAGCAATCGTGGAAGAAGAGCCTTGGTGAGAGAGGTAAAGAAGAACCCAAAGATCACTGTGGCTGAGCTCCAGAGATGCAGTAGGGAGATGGGAGAAAGTTCCACAAGGTCAACTATCACTGCAGCCCTCCACCAGTCGGGGCTTTATGGCAGAGTGGCCCGACGGAAGCCTCTCCTCAGTGCAAGACATATGAAAGCCCGCATAGAGTTTGCCAAAAAACACATGGAAGGACTCCCAGACTATGAGAAATAAGATTCTCTGGTCTGATGAGACCAAGATTGAACTTTTTGGTGTTAATTCTAAGCGGTATGTGTGGAGAAAACCAGGCACTGCTCATCACCTGCCCAATACAACCCCAACAGTGAAACATGGTGGTGGCAGCATCATGCTATGGGGGTGTTTTTCAGCTGCAGGGACAGGACGACTGGTTGCAATTGAAGGAAAGATGAATGCGGCCGAGTACAGAGATATCCTGGAAGAAAACCTCTTCCAGAGTGCTCTGGACCTCAGACTGGGCCGAAGGTTCACCTTCCAACAAGACAATGACCCTAAGCACACAGCTAAAATAACAAAGGAGTGGCTTCGGAACAACTCTGTGACCATTCTTGACTGGCCCAGCCAGAGCCCTGACCTAAACCCAATTGAGCATCTCTGGAGAGACCTGAAAATGGCTGTCCACCAACGTTCACCATCCAACCTGACGGAACTGGAGAGGATCTGCAAGGAAGAATGGCAGAGGATCCCCAAATCCAGGTGTGAAAAACTTGTTGCATCATTCCCAAGAAGACTCATGGCTGTACTAGCTCAAAAGGGTGCTTCTACTCAATACTGAGCAAAGGGTCTGAATACTTATGACCATGTGATATTTCAGTTTTTCTTTTTTAATAAATTTGCAAAGATTTCTACATTTCTGTTTTTTTCTGTCAAGATGGGGTGCTGAGTGTACATTAATGAGAAATAAAATGAACTTTTTTGATTTTAGCAAATGGCTGCAATGAAACAGAGTGAACAATTTAAAGGGGTCTGAATACTTTTCGTACCCACTGTATGTGTTGTTAAAATGCCATATAGTATTATCACAACCATAACAATCAAACGGACACAAAAAAAGCATTATTCATTAAAACACTCAAACAGGCTGTACATGTGATACAAAATAGGTATATACAATGTGAAATATGAAAATGATTTTTTTTTTTTTTTAAGTACATAGCTTAGTTTTAGTCCAACACGGCTCATCTTAACAGAGACAAGAGCGTCAAATATTACAAACCGACGAGCATTACGCCACCTTAAGCCCACAATATTCACCTCTTGAACACACAACCGCATCTACAGTCAACTCCAACAAAATGCAACATTAAAAAATAAAGTCTCAACGCAATGCAATGTGACCAAGATAATATTGTCTTGCTTTGTATAATAAACTTCTTATTCTGATAAACTGTTTACTCGCCATTTACAAGCTGGTCAGCAGTGAGTGTTTGGAGGAATGACTTAAATTAAGTAACCAGTATTAAGATACTTAATTAGCCGTCCTTACTGCTAGGTTAGCGAGTGAGAAAAGCCCACCGCAGTAACTTTACATCCACAAAGCATTTAGGCCACTTCAAATCAAAAAGGTCCGACGATGTACAAAAACCCAAGTTAAATGGCTGCAATGTTTCAAAGTGACATTTCCTCTCAGCTGAGCAGGGAACTGTCTCATGTTATGATTATCTGACCTGCTCATGTCAGAGGTTGACAAATCACAAACTCATATCAGGGTGTTGAGTAAATACAAATGTAAATATTCAAGAAAACATCTGTTGACTTATTGTGAAAAAAGTCAAAGTGAGCATAAACAGAAAGATCTCATGATATAAAAGTGCCTTGAAATAAGGAAATACAAAACTTAAGGGAATTCTTGCAATTTTTGTTAGATGGATCATCTCTCTGAATGTATAGTGAGTGCAGATCTATTCTACAGGGTGTGTGTTCGTCGTGAAAACTATACAGGTTCCCATAGTTTCTTTTCTTCGGATTGTTTAAAACACGTGAAAATTACACAATGATAAAAAGACCTTAACATACACACAACAATATCATGGTTCGGTTAAAAGTATACACTGAGTCCCCCGTGCTGACAGATGTGTGGCACACCAGACAGTGTATGAATCTATACAGAAATAAATACGTTAATGTAAAGCTAAATGAAGATGAACAGACACGTCTCTGGGTTGTTTACTGACAGAAAGGGGAAGCAGTGGGATCAAAAGTCTTGAACACGTCTTTAAGTGTCCTGTCGTCTGCCTCCTCCTGTCCATCTTCCTGTTTTGGTTCTTCCTCCATGGCCTCCTCCTTGTCCTTCTCCTCCTTTTTCTCTTGCTTATTTCCTTCCGCCTCCTCTTGTGCTCCCGTGGAGCCCTGTCCTCCTGGTTTGACCTGCCTCGGGTCAGTGTACTGGGGTCGGATCAGCCCGGCCAGTGCCTGGATGGGGAGGTTATGAACTGCAGGGGGTTTGACCGGTGAGGCAGGAGGCACTGTGGGAGAACTGGAAGGTGGGGGCTGATCCGAGGCAACGTCTGTGCTTTTGGCCTCTTCTAAAGAGCCGCTCCGTTGGGTTGGTGAGAGTGGCGGAGTTTTGTCCTTCTTAACTGGGAGTTTCAGAATCAAAGTCTTTTTGGGAGGCTCTGCTGGCTCCTTCTGACCCTGCTCGCTTTGATTACGTGGATCGTACAGACTGATGCCCCCCAGGATCGTAGTGGGACTCTCTAGCCCTCCACCAGAGGATGCCAGACGAGGGGCATAAGGTGGCAGCCTCTCAGGCTCCGGCTTCACTTGGACAGCATGAGGGGAGGAGCTAACACTGGCCTTCTGTAGCCTCGGGTCCACGACTCCTCCCACAGAGAAGGGCACTTTCTGACACAGCAGCTTGGAGTCCAGACTCCCTGTGCGCTTGAGTCTGGGGTCCAGAGTCTTGTGCTGACGCGGATCTACAGGTCTTTCAGCGGAGGATCGGGACTCTAGAGATCCAGAGGGCAATCGACTCATACGCTCCTTCAAACGTGCAGCGACCAGTCTGGGGTCAATAGCCGGAGGGCTGGAGACGGGGGGATGGTCAGGCATGCTTGTTCGGTTCATCTGAGCATCTGCGATTAGAGGTGGGAGGGGCAGGTTGATGGAGTTTTCCTGTTTTGGCACGAGGGACGGGATGAGGTCCTCAAGGCCCCACACCACTGTCTGTGCGAAGGCCGGGCGCTGGAGCAGGATGTCCACCCGTATGTGGCTAAACTGCTTTAACTGGCAACGTGGGTCTCGCAGCACCACATCGGGGCCAGCATCTAGCGGGATGAGAGCAGCTTTGTCCCTGAGCTCCCTCTCTCCCTCATCATCCTCATCTCCTGTGGGAGGCTTCTGAGGAACAGCATGGCGATAGGAACTCTGCTCCATTGGTCTCACCTTCCTGGGGTCTCTGGAGAACCGCGGGTCTGCAACGCCATCGGACTCCTTTTTCATACCGTGGGGTCGCTGTCGAGGGTCTGTCTTCACGCGGGGGTCGCTGGGTGGGGCCCTCTCCTTCACAAGCCGAGGGTCCCCCAGTGCTGGAGCCGCTGGTGCAGTCGGGGGGGGCTTGGACTGAGACTGCTGCATCTCACTCTGCTTCTTGAGGGATTTAAGGATGGAGGAAACACAACTCCCATCCTCCTCATCGCTCGAGTACCAGTTTGTAGTTTCATCTGCAAAAAAGATCAAATTATAATTTAATGTTTGTAAGTTGTCTGTGTATAAGCACCTTGTTTACTGATGTGATTGGAGCATTTTCTGAGGGGGTTCTAGTTTAACTGAGTTTTGTTTTATCTTAATTAAGTCAGCACACCTGCTTCTTGCCCGGAGGCACTTACCTCTGTTTGCATTGTTCTCGTCCTGGCCCTCTGCTCTCTGGGGCTCATTTCCCTGTGGATGTGACTCTTGCTGTTGCTGCTGAGTCAGGTGTAATAAAATGGCCTTCTGCACAGCTGGTGGTAAGGACTGAAACTGTGACTCTGCACCCATCTGCTGCTGGAGGTTCTGCATGAAGGCCAGACCAGGGTCTACTACAAAGAAACACAATTTTGCAATTTCAGCGAAGCTTAAAAGATAATTAACCTTTTGCATAACGATATTAATATTACACTGACCTCCTTGTGGACCCATGGCCTGGTTTCGGAGGACGTTGCCGAAGAACTCTACTGGGTTCTGACCCAGCGTTGGAAAAGGGAAGAGACTCTGCAGCATCTGTAGATCTGGTGGAGGAGGGAACGGAGGCCTCGGCATATTATTCGGAGGGTTGAGAATGGGTCGGTTTCCATGGAAGGGTGGGGGTTGACCCGGGGGCATCGGTGGTGGCTGCATTGGAAACCTGTGTGGTGGGTGCTGCCCTGGGGGGCTCTGTGGGCCGGGTGGTCCAGCAGAGTGACCCATGGGAACAGGAGACCCAGGGGGAGGAACAGGAAGCGCAGAGGGGCCTGGAGGCACCATATTTCCACTCTGCGTGTCCTCGGAGCCTCCGCTAAACTGATTGGAGCCTTCCCCCTGATTCTGGGAGAAGTTGGATCCGCTGAAAAAAATAATGTGCACAATGAGGTTGATAAGAAGCTCTTTAGAGTTCGATTTGAGTTGGATTACAGATGATTCTAGTTACCTCAGACCAATTTTTTGTGCCAAGTCTACAGTAGGTTGAACCGTGATTTCAAAAAGGGAGGGGATCTTCTTCCCCGCTTGGCCGTCTGTAGGACTGCTCTGACCAGGAGTGGGCAGCAACCCCACCCCAGGAGGAGGCTTCGGAAGGGGGGCGATACCCTGCTTTCTCAGATCCTCCAGCTCCAACTCGTCCTCACGGGCGTTCTCCTCCTCTGTGTTAATTATCTGATAATTGAGTCACAAAGCAGAAATAAGACAACTGTTGGCCATTACAGCCGAGTATCACTTGCCATAGAAGGTTTAAAGATAACGTAAAACACTTTTTTTGTTTTTACCTTATCAAGCAACTCTTTGGTCACATCGTTCAAAGCCTCGTGGGAGAATTTGCAGTTGTCCCCTTGATAACATTTGGCTCCAGTATGAAAGAACTTGCACGGGTATTCATGTGCACTCACCGGTTAAGGAATAGGACTAATTCAAAAAGGTGTAATGAGCTTTCACTGAATCATGTGAAACGATGACACAAATGTACTTAAAACACGTGTGCATAGTGAAGGATATTGTGCATGTAGATGCAGTTATCTCCTTTACTGCAGTACCCTTGGAGGTAGAACTTACAAAGTTCCTTTTTCTTATCCGGTATGACGAGCTCATGTTCAAACTTGCACTGTTCTCCCTGTGGGAAGAAAAAAATATTTAAACTTTCAGGTAGCGCGCGCGCGCATATATATATATATATATATATATATTTTTTAATATTTCAGCATACATTGTTAAAGCAAGTAAAACCACATTAGCGCTACTATACCTTGATGCATCTGCCCTCCAGGAAATACTTGCAGATGTATCTCCCGTTGTGCTCAACTGTGTGCTGATTGATGAACTCCTTGCTCATAATTGGCCGTTTCTTCTGAAATCCGCAGGAATTTTTTCCTTCCTGCGACACAAAATAAACAACAAGATGTGGTCTTAGTTTAGTCTTCTTCTCAACTCATGTATTAATGTACAGTACAAACCGTGTGGTACAAAGCTGAACAGTACGGTCAAAAGCTGAAACTCTGCAAAAAATAAAAGGATGATGAACAATATATACAGTACATTAGCTTGATTCCTCATGACTAACATTACATTTTATTTGCTTAAATATTAGTGGGCAGTTGTTTCTTGTATTCTACTAAAATAATATATAACACTAACACATCTGGCTGTTTCAGGGCCACTTACTGGCATCATGTCTTCCATGCCCTGGTCTCCTCCTCGGCCTCGTCCTCGCCCCCCCCACGGTTTGCCCTTCAGCTTCTTGTTCTTGTAGAGCATCCCACGTCCTCTTCCTGGGCCGCTCCCTCTGCCCCTTCCTCTCTGCCCAACTGAGAATGAAAAGTAAATAGTTAAATCTAGTTGATGAATTACTACACGGGTGATCTGAATTGAAAGGTGGTTGATTTCATACACTGCTGTTGTTTCATCCCCCTCATGCTTCCTCTCTTCATCTGGTCTTTGGCATGGCGTCCCCTTCCACGACTCTGGGAGATGCAATCCTTTGACTGCGGGTATTCGGACATGTCATCTTCATAATCCTCCTCCTCTTCCTCGTAGTCATACTTGTCATCGCTGTAGTCGCTGTATTTGTCAAAATCACTGCTCTTGTGCGGCGGGGACTTCTGTGAGTTGCCATGGCCGCCCTTTGAATCCCGTCCGTGCTGGCAAGTCAAACGTCAAAAGAGGGAAATGTCACACAATAATGCCTTCATGAAAATGACGTGTCAGCATGCCAGCGGTGGTGAACTCACCTGAGAGGACTGGCCATCGGATCCCTGGCTCTTCCGGGTTTTGGGTTTTTCCGGTCGGTCGTAGTCGGAGTCATAACTGTCCGAGCTGGAGCTGCTGGAGGGGGAGTGGTGCTGAGGAGAGTGCAGAGGGGACGAAGGAAAAACACAATATTAAAGTGAATTATCAAGAGTAGTTGAAACCCATGCCTTCATGAGATATTATATCTTACTTTCTGTCTGTCGCGCCTCCTCCTTTTGGACCTCCTCTTCTCTCTGGTCTTTTTGTATCTTTTCCTGGAGTGCCTGTGAGTCTTGTCTTCTTTCTCTTTACCTTTGTCCTTTTCCTTCTCTTTGTCTTCATTCACCACTGCAGCCTCTTTGTTCTCCTCTTCAATTCCAATCCCTTCATCATCTATTTCTCCATCTTCCAGTTCACCGTCCTCTCTGAAAAGAGGGAAACAGTCAGTAGAATGAGTATAAGTGCATTTATCAGCCTGAGGCATAATTCAAAAGTTGTTTACTTCATGAGCAAAACATCTGATGAGCAAATAACCCAGAATCACCTGCTGTAATGATTTCATAAGAACTTTCATAATGTATTTTCCCTTCATTTGGAGTAAAGTACTAAATATCACACCAGACAGTTTGCAAATTGCCCGAAGCCTTTCCAGCACCAAAACATCTCGTCAATGATTAAAGGCTTAGTTTTAATTTCCTGTGAACCAGTGTGTGGTTATTTCATGAAAGCCAATTAAAATTCTCTGATTTATGAGTATGATTTAGGCCCACATAAAACCTTAATGACAAAAGGTCCATAATGAATTACTGCAAAGTAAAAGCAGGTTATTCTTATTTAAATAGCTAAATGGAAAATATTTTGATGGGATGTCCAACAAACACTGTCCTGTCTGGCTGAAAGGCCTGAGCACTCCTGTAGGAACATTTCGAGGGCATAATTGCAAGAATTGTAAATATTTAATAGGCAGGAAATCTTCCCAGGAGCATCCGATGCTGGACACTGCAATACAATGAAGTTAATGTTTGAAGACACAAACGTCTATTACTGTGATGAAAATGATGGCATTTCTTTCTATGACTTTGCTGCAGCACCCATGACCCCTGTGTCTCTGTCTGCAGTACTACAACGTACTACAACGTACTACAACGAGAACTTCACATCCACGCCGTTTGTCGTCATGTGTCAGACAAGAATGCTCAACACCAGATGAAGGTCACCAGCTACCACTTCCTCTGACACCAGTGCAAATCAGGTTTCAACCGGGCACCCTTCATAAAGCCACCACTACTCCAGTTAAAGCAGCGGAGACCCAAAGATTCAATATGAAACATTTGCCGATTTAGATATCTTTGGGGAAAACTGGCATAAACGTACTCTTTCCTGTTGTCACATTTGACCAAAACCATGTAAGTGAAGACTGATAAATGTAGGAAACTACTTCATACTAGCATCACTAGTATCCCAGCATACCTATTCAACTTGTAGGTGCAATAAAACCAGTTATCTTTACTGAGCACAACCATCACAGTCCACCAGCTTCTTTGCTTAAACTTAAATCACCTGGTGACATATTTGCTTTGACGCCAGTAAACTCTTGACCCTCTTTTGTTAACATGGTCTGATAACTCATCAAGTACTACAGACCAATCCCAGAGGACACAGGCCCGTATTCAGCAGAAGCACATAATAATCTCTCCATCCTGCGTGAACCCTGTCAGCAGTACCGCCAGGTGCCCGGTAGGGGGAGGGCAGTACGGAGGATGGGCGTGGCTGTGCCCTTAACATCACAGTTGGCAACAATGAAGCCATGAATTCATACACAGAACCACGACAACACAAACGGATGAGGTCTGCTATCTTGCATGGAAATGATGTTGGATGAGTCTTGTCGACACTAGGCTATTTGGACAGCGATATTCACTTGCACCAAAGAGGCATGCAAAGATGTTTTTTGAGGGGGGTGGGGGGAGAAACCGTGGACCCTAGACCCCGGCAATTCATGGTTAAATGAGGAAAACAGTAACACAAGCACGTAGACCCACCACAGCACTCAAAACGCACAGATGAGCGTATTAAGAATATTGCATAAGAACGTTACTCGACCTTTCATCCCCTGCAAGCTCAGAGTCTGTCATGTTTTTGTCAAGAACAGGGGCTGGGGGACTGGAGACAAGGCTCACAGAAGCCATTGGAAAACGGATCTGCCTCCCTTCTCTCCGGTACAAAGAGTGAATTAACTCAGTCACTCAAGGAGACGTTGGGTTGTGAGAGATGCTGGAAGATTTCAGACTGGAAAAAACTCACGGTGTTACATGTCTCGACAGAGACAGTAAACGGACACTGTCCTCTTTCATTTCAATGACGTTTTAACTCTGTGAGCACAGCTTGATGCCCCGCTTTGCTAATGTCCCGTCGGTTGACAGCTGCCATGGTGAAATAGAGGAGACGGAGGGAGGAACAGACAGAAATGTAACCATGTTCGTTGATTTCAGCATCTTCATAGGGTTTCTCAACAGGGACATCATCTCAAAATGGCTTCTGAGGTCTGCAGCACATTCCTAAATCATGTATTCCTCTACGTATATATATAGTCCTTTAAGGATCAATCTAACTTGGTGGCAACGGATCCTCGTCTGCTATTGGTCAGACATTACGCGGGTGACGAGAGCTGCGATTCTTATTGGTTCAAAGTAATGTCAGTTATTTTCAACATCTGCAACAATGAAGCGGATACGACGCACGGTTTTGTCCTTTGTCAACGTTTTAATTTATGAATGTGTGTATTACGCAGTTACAACAGCCCGAGTTTATTATGTTTTAGATTGTTTTATTTTAAAGCAAAACCGCTGAAGTCAATTCCCTTCATCGTGTTTTTAGTGGATACGTATTTCGTCCGTTGTGTGAGCTCAGCTTCACGCGCTCGTGCAGTCCTGTCATTGACCACCAGGTGTCGCTCCGAGTCTACAAGCCAAACCTTAAAAGACTTGCTCGTAAAACTGTGACAAATGCACATAATGTACGTCCGGTAGTGTTTATCAACAGACCAACACTAGTCTCAAAATGAGTGTTATTCTTGATAGTCTACAAAACAATGTGGCCTTAACGGTTATCGTTAGCTCTCAGTCAGGCTTACCTGATCTTACGGATACATAACCGGTCATTTTAGGTGTGCATAGCCGAGTATGTCAAAGGCTTAACGACCTGTTTCGTAATGAGCATCATACAAGTCCCCAGGAAGATCTTATTCTGAAAATGTCCAGTCATTTGAGTTTGTAAGGAAAAGGAAACAACTTTTTTTTTTTTTTTTTTTACCCTTTACGACAGAGTTAAACATAATTAAGTTCATATCATACTCGTGATATTTACCAGATATAGCTGACACTGTGGTCAACTTTCCTTGACCTTGAGATGTAAAGAGAAAAGCATACAAATATGTGGGAGCATCTCGGTGGGAGGGATTATTGCTGCAGGAAACAGTTAGGTGGCGTGCAGAGCTCAGAGGCTGAACCTTTCCAGAGCGCAGATAAAGAGACGGGAGCGCATCTCTGTCTCAGACACCTGATGAGCATCCTCCAAACTCTCGTAACAAGGGGACAGAACTCGTTTTGGGGGATTTTACCGAAGCACCAAATCTTGGAGAACACCAACAGGGAACAGCATTACTTTATTATCACTGGACATTAAGAGATGGCACTGTCTTTTCGACGCAGGTGTTTGCTGCTGCTGTGTTTGACAGCTATCCAGAGTGGTCATGCTGCCGTTCAGGTAACAGCAATTTACTTTGCCTTAAATGCAACAACTCACTTGTCCAAGAAGAGCTGCCGTCATGGGCAACTTGTCTCAACAAAAGTGTGTTAGGACATAGGTTACTTTAATCAAATCTAAAAAATCTGAGCAAACTCTATTTGGGAAATATTCATAAATTTGATGAACAGTAATCCATTTTAATATCTTAATCCTATTATTTAAAAAAAAATTCACCCCAACTAATAATATTGTGTTTTATTCTGTTCAAGCTCTTTATCCAGCTCATTGTGATCGTGTAGCTTATGTCAAGTTTTGCATGGTTTGTGATCACAGTCTCCAGTTTCCACTGGAGAAATAGCACGATACTTTTTGCTTTTCCCAAAAATGTCCCGTGTAGCATCCGGATATGAGTCCTCTCTTGTCTTGTCTGCTTTGCCTGAAGCAGAGCACTGTTTTAACTACTCCACAAGTCCAAACTATGTACACATTGAATTTTAATGTATTGAAGCGAGCTGTTTTTGTGCAAGGCCCTCCAAATGCAAGTGCAGGAATTTAAGGTATGCTGCACAGAGAAATTGTTCCAATGAGCATGTGATTAATAAACCCTCCTGAAAGGATTAGAGGCATTTTCTCTGAGGAACTGTGTAATGGCTTGACAAGCTTTCTCCCTCAAGTAACTGTTAGTGGCACCCATGCTATTTTGAGTTTGCCCATTCAGGATTCTCCAATGGACGTGTGCCTTCCTTCCTATGCAAAATATACAGAAGAACAGCATTTTGGGCTTAGGTCACATTGACATCTGCCAGACAGCTTTTGTCCAGCTGTGTCTGCCACACAGCTTTTGTCCAGCTGTGCCTGCCACAAGAGTTGTGATAGCAAGTGGAAAAGGGGAGAAGAAGAGAGATGGTGGGCCTAGACTATCACACATGTGAGTGCAATTAGGTTTAACGGAAAATAGATGTCAATAGAGAGCTAATAGAGTTTAAAAAAAAGAAATCGTGGTGACTGCATCATGCAAATACAGTAAAAAACATGTTACATAATGTATTCTAATATCAATGAAAACTCTTTGTAACCGTAACAAAGATGGGTTTAGTTTCAAATACATCATGCCCCACAGCTGCATATTCATGTTTATACACAGCTGTTTAATATTTTATGACCAAACTGAGGTCATTTTTATTCCCAAGCTCGTTTTCTGCTCATGGTGCTCATGCTTTATCCACAGACATGCATGGACAAGCACCAGGTGGTCGGGGTGCTTCGTCAAATGGAGAAGTTTCTGAAAGGCCAGGAGATGCGATTTACGGAGGGCCTCAGGATCATGAAGTCAAAGCTGGCAACGCTGCAGAACTCTGTCTCCAAGTTACCTCAAGCTGACCAGTCAGCTGGTGAGTAATAAGCAGACAACAGCACGTATACCGCCACCCTCGTCATCATATTCCTCATTCAATTGATATTTGCATCTGTGCTTTTCCCACTGTCACTTGTCACAATGTCTGAATGTCTGAAAAAGGTCTTTTGTCCTCAATCATAATCTTTATCAACTTGTTCTAGTTGATAATTATTTAATCCAACTGACTCCCTTGTCCTGGGTGATGAGACCTCTGCACAGGTTGAGGTTGGGCAGAGCTGTGCAGGGATGTACATAATGTCATCATAATGTTACAAATATCCTGTATGTATGAATTCATTGATTCCATTCTGTTACATCAGCCCATTTCACAAATAACTGGGTAATGGAACATGGTAAAGATATTTTAAAAAGCATGTGTCTAATTGCTCAGGTCAATGGATGTGTGGTGATTTTGTTTATAGGAGTTTTAAACTTCTTAAGGCTCTAATGGAAGCAGGATTTATTTTTACATTTAGTATAGTAAAGTAGGAAATTGATTTATAGTCATAACTTAATACACATTCTTTAGGTATATGCTGTAAAATCAACATACCATGATGAGAGGCTGCTAAAAATACAGAATATATGTCTTTATTTGCTCCACTGATCATGTAGTATATAGTTGGCTGTAAACCATAAACTGGATTTAAATTTAAAAATAAAAAAATTCACAAAGAGTTTACCAAATGAGTGGATACTCAATTGACAATCCATAAACTTCCACATGCATGCATAATGGTTTGGTAATTCAGTGAATGATCGTTCACTTAAAGGCAACAGAAGATTCTAAAGTATAAATTTACAACATTTTGGGAACATTCAATTGTTTGAAGTTAATCTTCAAACAGATTTCTTGTTAATAGAGGGCCAGATATCGCTTCTTCTATTATGGAATTACATATTCATCCAACAGCGCGAGGTCATCTCAGTTTCAGAGCTGGGTACCTGACAGGGGAAGTGGATTTGTGGAATTGTGTTGTTTGGCAGCCGATGCTGAGCCAATTTGTTAGTGATGGAGCAGTGCAGTCCATAACTCTGGAGAGAACTTGGCAGGACAGGAGGAAGCATATATTTTACATTTATACCAATAAAGCCTCAACAAAATGAAAGGACAAAAGTTAAATTATTGCACCACCAGCTTTAAATGCTCAGATCTGGATAAAAATCCAAATATACACATTTAAATAAAAGGGAATATATTGTTGAGTCAGATAAATATACAATAAATGCATTGGTAAAATACAATAGATTATAATCTGATGATGATGTAATAATGTTGTGCAGCATTCCCTATCTTGTTCTAGCCTATTCTACATGATATGCTTCCCTACATACAATAGGTGCAAAAACAGCATCTGTCATATCCCTTGGCACGATGCTTAAACTTAAAGTTATTAGAAAAAACAACACAATGGGATTTCATTATTCAAGCTTGATTTATCAGAAAGTAAGTGGTGGTTTTCACTTGAGGTTGAAAGCATAGGAAACATTTGTTCCTACTGGGATGAGGCATACATTCTCATAAAAGTCAAAAACTTAATCCATTCACAAAGTTATGTAATGTAATAAAGTTCTATATTATACAAGCCTTAAACTTTCCAGAGCATGCAAAATAGCATAACATTTGGCTGCCGGCAACATTCTGACTCATAAAAATGTCCGGTGCCGTGCTGGCTGACTGTAAACGAGGCATTTGAACCGTCCTCTCCCATGAAGGCTCTGCGCTGCCCAGCGACACGTGTATATCCCCAGGCAGGGAATGCCAGAGGATGTCGGGAGGCTTACTCCACATGTGACCAGCTTCCTCTCGTGCTCTCTCTCTCACACAGCTCCCACCACCTGCCCCACGCTGGAAGGCCCTGCTCACGGAACCAAGTTTGGCTCAAAGTATTTAGTTGGACATGAGGCCCATTTCACTTGTTCCCAGGGCTACCATCTTGTCGGTTCTGCCACTCGTGTCTGCCGGGACAACGGCACCTGGACTGGCATCAGTGCCATCTGTAAAGGTGAGCTACATACAGGAATCCCATCGCCCATTGCCCTTCCACAGAGCCTGATTTTTAACCGTGTGTGAGACCAGTGTTGCATTTGATTCAGGTGAGGAATGCGGTCTCACTTCAGCTGCTGTATGTTTTCATCACAGGATTAGGAGCTTTTTAGCCCCTTTGACTTTCTCCACGTACAAAACACACATCCACTACTTTTCTGATTTGGTGGAATGTTTTGGGCCAGGAAGTGCTATGTCTGTGCATTATTCACTGCTGGAGCAGAGATCCCCACACCAATTTAGGGCGACCTCGGCTCAGCGGTGCCTGAATGCCAGGCTGAAAGAGACAGCAGCACAGAAGCCAAACTGAGCTCCACACACACACACACACACACACACACACAGATAACAGGCAAAGAAAAGAGGCATTCTTTAGCGTGGCTGGAACTCCTCGGCATACTGAATGAAGCCCTCGTTAAAATGGCATTAAATGTCTCTGAACACAGAAAAACACCTGTACTGCATTCCACTGTGGGGTGCCTTACCCTCCAGGTTTCCACTCCTCATGAACAGCAGTGGTTGGGCTACTGTAAGATGAACCCTACCGCTCTTGCTCATGTTTCCCTGGTTCTTTGACAGTAGTCCCACTGGACGGGGTTAGGTCCAGACGTTATGTCCAGACCATGGTCTGATAGCACAGAAGTATGTTAAGCATGCTATTGATTGCCCGGTCAGGCTGCGCTGGTGGCACTCTTCCAAAAATTCCTAGTGGCGCACTCAGTTGAACATGTGCATACGTTTATTGACATTCATGGTTAAAACAACATGAGAGGGCTCGACTCCGCACAGTATCATCCCTGTTCATGTTTTTCAGCCCGGCATAAGAGGTCTAAATTTAGTCATGCTTAAAAAGCAGTATTGACGTAGTGTGAAAACTTTAAAGTTAAGAAAAGTTTAAAAATATCTAGCAGAGTGAAGTGGGCCTTTTCATGTTGTGGCCCTGTGGTGGCCCCTGGGGAAGCCAAATAAACATTAAAGGGATTGGTTGTCATCCAGTATACTGTGGGCTCAGAGAGCAGAGGCCGCTTCATAATTTTAACATCTGCACAACTCTAAGAGCTGACTACAGAAACAAATATCATAATGTATTTTTCTTATCTAGTTTGTTACCCTTGTTGTTGTTGTCAACAGTTTGCGTTTTGGAGTACTTCTGTATCGAGCGGTCGTACTTACTATACGGGAATATCATCTTCGGGGCCACTGTTTGATGAATAATCAATATACTGTATATGCCACAACAAAGACAATAAGTCTGAACATTGGTGGGTAAATGAATAGATCTTTGCTATACCTACAGAGATGTCTCCAGTGTGTATTCATAGGGACAAGTATTTTACCCAGCTTTTTTTGCATCCCACCATTCCAAACGCTACTTTACGCATACTCACATTCGAGGGCATTTATACCAATTTGCACTCGTTCATGTTTAGGCGATAAAATGCTTGTGAAGAAGTATGAATGAAGTCAGGTACTTCTCAACTGTTTGTTTGGCAGAGAGGTAAAACGTCACAAAGCCTTAAAGTTATGAGTAAAACATCTGTCCATAGACTAACAACAACAATTTTAACATTGAAGCTGAGATGGATTTTATTGCCGTACACTTTAAGAGTCCTCCCCATTAGATTTGATGAAGATAACTACTACTTTTCCACAAATAGAACAAATAAAAGGGCATCAGAGACATACTGTGCCCATAATGACAGTACCAGTTTGTCATTTTTAAGCATCGGTTATCAAACTGGGTGGACACTTATTGCCGCTCTTTGGATGGAGAGTCGATGGGAAGGGCTTACAGAGGTTCTTTCATTTTTGGTGACCATTTCTTTCTTTCAGGACCTTTGATCTGTATGCACCAGACTGATGAAAACAAGAGATTCGGAAGAAGCTGCACGTTTCTTTAAAAAAAAGCTGACCACTGTGATTATTCTCTCCTGCACCCACAGATATAAGTGAGTGTGCAAGTAATCCCTGTCAAAATGGAGGTACCTGTGTGGAAGGCGTTAACCAGTACAAATGCACCTGCCCCCAGAACTGGAGTGGTTCTCACTGTCAGCATCAAACCCAGACAGGTCAGTGCCACAAACGTCTGAGACTCTTTGTTTAGTTGGCATTTTCTTATCAGTCAAGACTGGGATCTACATGTTTACAATGTGTTCAGCTCAAGATCAAATGTTAGGTCTTCAACTTTCATATTGTCTCCCCCAATGCAGCACCACCTGAGTGGAGTGTCATGAATGATCCAGCATTCAGCCGGAGACCTCGCTGTGCGCAAGTGAACAGAGCCCAACACTGCAGCTGTGATGCCGGCTTTCACATGAGTGGCACCTCTGACAACAGTATCTGTCAGGGTGAGCTGTAAATTATGTGTTCCTTAATTGATCCCTGTGGGGAAATTATCCTTTCACTGCTCCTCCTCACAGGGAGGCAAGGTCAGCTACAGTTCCCTGAAGCTGGTTGCTCCGCTCAATAACATCTCAGCAGCACAAATAGCACATGTTAAAGGGACTTTGCTGCTGAAATGATCCCAGAGTAACCAAATCTTTTACTCCTCTAGTGATTAATATGGTTGCAAATAAGAGAAATCTGAGGGGCCAGTCTGTGACAAACAAAACAATCCTCTTGGGAGGTCACAAGCTGATTAGCATCCATTTAGGTCACAGTTCAGTTGCTTTTGAGATGTAACTGGTTGAGTAACAATTCGAAATTAGTGTTTTCAAGTAGTTGCCTCAAATGTGTTGATGCCACAATACTGAAAGGGCAAACCTGATGGACCTCAATACTGACGATAACCTGAGGCGACAGGAACAACATAGTTTGGTTCCTCGGTGTGTGTTGTAAACATTATGAGGTACCTATAGGCTCCCTCCTAGTTACTTTTAAGTGCACAATGGCCATGTGATGCATGTTCACGACATGCGATTCCTTGTCTGTTTCCTGACAGATGTAAACGAGTGTGAGGTGTATCGGCTGGACAAAGGAGGGAAGCTTTGTGTCCACGAGTGTGTGAATGTCCCGGGCTCGTACCACTGCTCGTGCCCCAGCGGCTACAAGTTGCTCCCAGACGGGCGGAACTGTGAGGGTGAGTGACAAGAGAGAACAGAGGACAAAGGCTCATTCACAGAGCCCTGGCTGGGTATGTAGCTCCAGAGAGGAATACCTGCGACTTAAGGAGAGGAGCCTTTAAGCAATGTGCTTTTAGTTTCTGCAGAGGTGTCTGTCGGCCCCAAACCTCGTTTCCACTTTCATTTGCACCCCTGAAGCTTGCAATGCTTGCCAGTGGAATGAGTGACCTCACCCTTTCCCAGCAGAAGGGATCTTTAGGACATGAGACTAAACTAAGAACCCAAATAAACAATCACAGCACAGCACCCCCTCTGACTGTGGTAACCAGGAAGCAGGGAGTCAGTCTGGCAAGTCTCTCTGCCCGCTTCTCATTCTTACATGCCTCTGCTGTTTTGTCTTCCAGATGTGGACGAATGTTTAAGCCAGCAGCACAACTGTAGCCGAGGGACAACTTGTATCAACACGGGGGGAGGCTTTCAGTGCGTCAACCCAGAGTGTCCCCGTTCTCATGGCAACATCAGCTACGTCAAGACGTCTCCCTTGTAAGTGGATAGACCCCGATGTGACCCCTTTGTCATTTGTTTTGTCAGTGAAAAGCTTTAGAAAAAATTAAACCAGGATCACATCTTCCACGTGCCAGCAGGAAATTTTCATCAACTCTCAAATGACCATGTGAATACTAAATCAGACTTGACTGTGAGACATTAATGGGCCCCAGGCGGACATTTTGAAAAGCAAGAAAAGCAGAAATAAAACAGATCATTCCTGTGTTCAAGTGTGCAGGTAATCCATGCCAGTGAACCCGCATGCGCAACTGGAGGTTAAAATACATGTATCGACTGTCATTGACGAGGTGCACTTGAGCAAGGTGTTACAGCGTTAGAGCTCTCTAGCTGAAATTCATGAAGGGAAATTCAGGTTTCATACAACTTGAGACATAGTTTTGGCCATATTGCTAATGGTAGAAATAACAATAATCTTGCCATGGTGACTGCTGAGCTCTGGCTATGCAGCAATACAACTAACTGCCAAGCTAACCAAACCGATGACAATAAAACATGAGAGATGTGGTTATCGCTGCCTCACAGTGAAACAAATCGTTCCTGAAAAAGAACATGTATCAGCAGAACTTCACTCGACCACGTTTTTTTTCTTTTACTTTTTGAAAACCATGTCGAACGTCTGTGTCTGGCCAAATGTTTGGAGGATATTACAACTTCCATCTCCATGTTCGCCAAGTCATCAGCAAGCTGCCTCATTTAAGAGCTTGAAACAAAGCTCTGTTTGCTTCTACTGAACCATCAATGTGGTGAAATACTGCTCCGCTGCCAGCGAAGGGGATGAATAAATGTTTGGGAAAACACTTGTAGCAAGGGAGAGAGCAAGGAATCGAGAAAAAGGCAGTAGCTGAGTCCCCATTCCATAATTCTATGCAGGTTTTGAGATTGTTGTGCACAGAGATGGAATTTTGGAAGTACTTCACAGAATAAAAGGTCACAGCGTTCTATGATCCAACACTTCGGGGCACATGACTTCATATGTACTGTATGTATGTGTGTCACTTCTCTTTAGTCACAAAGAAGCACTTATAAACACTATTATATAATCGTTTTCTCAGTGACAAAATGGCTCTATTACATGACAACTGCCAAACACATAGAGAATGGAAAACATGTACCACTTTGTCCTGTAACACCCCCTGCTTATAACATTTGCTGTCTTTCTGTCCGGCAGTCAGTGTGAGAGAAACCCCTGCCCCATGGACAGCAGATCCTGCCACCTGGCTCCCAAGACCGTGTCCTTCCACTACCTGTCTCTGACCTCCAGCCTGCAGACTCCTGCGACGCTTTTCCGTATGGCGACCGCCGCCGCCCCAGGGCGCACCGGGCCGGACAGCCTGCGCTTTGGCATAGTGGGCGGAAACTCCCGAGGCATCTTTGTCATGCAGCGTTCAGACAGGCAGACCGGTGAGCTGATACTGGTTCAGCAGCTGCGCGGGCCGCAGGAGATCAGCGTTGATGTGGACATGTCTGAGTACAGCGACCGCACCTTTCAGGCCAAGCATGTGGCCAGAGTTAACGTTCTGGTTTCCCCTTACAACTTCTGAGAGCGTGCTGGCAAAGGAGGAGGACGAGACAGACAGGGGAAGAGGAGCAAGGAAGAGTGTGTGATGGGCCTGAGTTTACTGATACTGTTTCTTACTTCCATATCAGAAATTAATTTGCCTGAGTAGCTGGTCAAGTGACAAGCCAATATTATAATAAAACATTTATATTATGAATAACAATTTACGGCAAAACACATCATAGATGCTTCTTTAAGTCAGTATGAGCTTTGACTGATGTTTGACTGAGTATGTTTGAATGCTGAACAAGAGCATAAATGGGTTGGGAGGGATGCAGAACTGATTTTGTCATTGCTGTTGCTTTATGTTTGTATGTTTATGTCCATCATAGATCATGTCTGTAGCTCAGGGTCCAGCCCCGGGGCTGATGCACTGCCCTTGCTTTGTTGACGATAAATCCCTATAAGACATTAGTGCTCCTGAGGCTCTAATTTATTGGAAATATTATTGCTGGTTTTTACATTGTAACATACTGTACGCCACATGTTTATCTTCCATCATATACTGTATATTTGTTTTGTTTTTTTTGTACTAGTTTGCCTTGTTTAAGCACCATCCATTATACTAAGGGAGTTGTTGTTTTTTGAAACAGTAGATGCAGTCCTGTACCTGAGTATATTTCCTCTATAACTCATATTCTGTATGTTACCCAGAAATGATTATATCTGGCAAGCTTGCAAAGCACTACGCAATTTATCTGGGATTTTAATTGTCTCTACATAACTGAAATAAAGTCGGTCTAACATTTCAGTATTTGTTAAAACTACTTGACTTGACGCTGAACAGTGTGCTATTAAATGTCCTTTTGGCTGTGCTGCTATTATGAGTGAGTTTTAATGAGTGGAATTCGAACCAACGCATAGTTGATGAATGAACGCTGGACGGCTATCAAAAGTTCTCCGACTGGATGGATGAAACTTAGGTTAGAGAGGAAGAATGTGGGTTTTTTTTTAATATTACCCGTGAGGCATACGTTCACAGACAATACAAGTCAAAGCAGCATTTCCCAGAATGTCTCAGAAACAAACAGTGTTTCTTTTTGACTTCAATACAAGGAACAGTAACTGTCACATTTTCAAAACATATCTTCGTGTGTCTACGTGTTAGAGAAAGAAGAGACTAATGTCCACCACATGTGTTCTCTTCACTCTGTCCTCCTCTCTTGTCTCCATCTAGGGGTTTACATTGCATTAAAAGAGCAGCATGCTTCCAGGAGGGAGTGGATGGTGAGAATCAAAACACATGCCCCGACGGTACACGCTGCTCTGAAAATGACAACGCGCCTTAATGGCAGTAATTTCCTTCAGTAACCGTACCGGGAGGGCTCACATTGCAGCCTTTGTGTCCAGGCTTGTGCTCGGGCTATTTGATGTTCACATGTTTCATCCATTCTGAGGCGGCAGGACTTATTGCAAGAGACAATTGGAGAACACTGAGCTACATAACACAAGCCATTTGCTGGAAAGTAACAACAAAAATATGCAGTAAGGGCCTTGAAGCAAAGCCAGCACATAGTGTGGTTTACACTGGGTTTACGTCGGAGTCACAGAGACATAGTGACTTTGGGGCTCTGTGGAAGCTTCCTCTTAGTGCTTCTGGTGACTTTAGTGCGCCATTCATAAGGAGTGGACAAAATAACAGAAACACACATAGATACACACAAATATACAGACGCCAGCAGTAAATACCAATTTGACGAAGCTTTTGATAATGTGTTTTTGAAACTTTAAGAAGTGATGCCGTACTAGTTTACTATAGATTTTGTGTCCTCTGTCTTTGGTGTTGGTAAGGATCTGTTTCCTGTGCCAATGCTGAACTACTGTTGGAAATGGGCACAAATAAATGTGAGTAAAACATTTAGCTACAGTATATACAATATCCTCCTGAAACATCTTTTGCCTATTCAAGCACAAAAGCAGAAATCATATTGAAAGGATACAGCAGGCACACTATACATCTACGTATGGCTCTCCATCAAAACAGAGGAGTCACGTGTGTCACTGGTAGGCTAGTCCAGAAAGAAAAGCACTGTAGAGGAACTTTACTGTACTTTTACTGTCCAGGATCCATGTCCATGACTGTGGGTCATCTTTCATGTGGGATAAATGTGAAGGTATAGGAAAGCAGAATGAATGCCTCTGACTTTAAAGTGGCCTATAAATCTACCAGAGTAATAAAAGGACACTTTTTTTCATGGTGTAGATAAATATCATACTGTTTGATTCAGTCCTATTATCAACTAAGATATAAAGCATGCACAGTAGATAGATAAGAAAACTGGTTAACAAAGAGACAAAATGAAGGTAGCAGCTTGCTCAGATGGACGAACCAGGTCTCTCTGGTGTTCTTAAAATGAGGCCATGTTTTCCTGTCTGTCTCCACAACGAAATCCTGATGTTTTATTAGTGATTTCATAATTGCATAGTTGCAGTTGAGGTATTTTGGCTGTTATTGATTGGTATTTTAGATCCAAATACTGCAGCAGAGGCCTATGACAGGTTTGTCTTCTTTCATGGAAAATGGTACAAACAAACCCAACGTCTGGTATAAAGTTCTGTCCATGTTGGACAATAGAGTGTCATTTTAAAATGGCACTCTAATGTCAAAGGTTTAACCAGTTTGGGTCACAAACAACTTGTATTGTCAACATGACAAATACATTGGATTGCCGGTAGATTTATTGTTGTTTCAGCGTTCTTGGTCACAGTGAAAACTCAGGGCTTATATTTTCAACAAGTGGGCTTCATGTAAACTGTCCGTTTCATTATCATTTATTACAATTTTCCTCAAATAGCCCATTTCCTCTTGAATCTGGTATTTATAAGACAGCTTCAGAGTAATATTTGTTTAATGCAGCAAAAATCACAACCAGAGTAAAATATGTATTTTTATTTCCAAATTAATACTGAAAATCAGACTAAGAAACAAACAGTCTCCTGTGGAAGATTAATATGTAATCTGAGTGGACACACTTCCTGAGAAGGAAGAGTGAAGAAAACCGCTGGTATGAAATGTTTATGCCCAGGTCTTTGTGACGCCCATGAGAGAAAAAGAGGAGTCATATTATCCAGACACCGCTCTACTTGTGGAATTATGCAATAACAGGATTCAGCCAATACCCATCTGTACAAATAATCGAGGTCCACTGCAGGTGTCTGCAGTTTTATATAACAGGACAGCTTGCCACCAAAAGCACAATCACTCCAGGTTTCCATCCAATATAAAAACAGAATAGTGACATTATAAACCCGGCTGATCAGCTTTTGCTGATGCCAACCATATGACTTGTCAAATATATCATACGGGATGGCCCAAGTCCTGCCGTTACATTTACTCAGAACAACACGCATGAAGACACCGACAGTGTTCCAACCAAAACTACACTGACAAAAACACCAGGGCAGCCAATTTCAGAAAAAAAATATTAAGACGTATTTGACGTGTTTTCACGGTCTCTGCGGAACCACAATGATTTCTTTTTTTACCAGCAAACACTGCAAAGCAATAAGAAACAAGCTGCAGTTTCACCAAACACATTGTGAAACTGTTCAGGGTCCAAATCAATCAAGAAAATGGAAGCACACATTGTAAACACACTCTAGAGTAAACATGGACGAACACACTGTAACAACTTATAAGTACACTTGAAACACATAAATAAGGAAATTAATGAACTCCAGATTAACATACATACAGTATATTGCTCCCTAATTCAAACACCTGCCCACCCACAAAGGTACTGAGGATGCCAGAGACATGAATAACACTTTCATACATGTTCTCAACCACCTGAACAGTTTAGGCCTCAAACAAGAACTACATGTAGGCAAAGATTTGAACTTCAAAGTGCATAAGAGCAAAATGTTCTAGTCAAAGTGTGTGTGTGTGAATTTTTTTTTGTTGGCAAAAAAAAAATATAAGTGTGCTTCAGATATTTATATATAAATACAAATCCTGTTTGGGATTAATTAACAAACAAATTAAAATTAAATTCTGTTTCCCTCCCATGGCTGCAAAAAGATCTTGGATAAAACATTCTCGGTGTTATTTACTGAGTAAAAAGGCTTTTTAATTATTTCCCCATCATAAATAGGCATCTTGTTTTATTACAACCAACCAATAACATCTAGATACCCACAAAAAGACACTTAATGTATGTTTGAGGGTATGTTCATGCATCAGGCCCACTGTTCTTAATTCTCTGATAAAATAAATTCTCATGAACAGAACAGAAATAAATACAGCACTTAATATAAAATGAAGAATTATCTTTGGAAAGAAAGGCTCAAAAACTGATCATAATCAGGGAAATGGTGAGCCAGTTGGTCAGTGAAAAGACAGTTTTCCTCTGGTAGAGTCCTTTGCTCTTGACAAGTTGAGGAAATGAGACCTGGACCACCCTGCGAAGTGGCCCTAAAAACAGTAAACGCCACTCCACCACCACCACCCGACTGGAGATCCTGGAGGAAACCCTGCTGCAGACGCAGAGACAGCTGCTATCTTCTCCCTCCATGTCTGGAACTCGTTTACCTCACTCCAGCTTTGACATCTCATATCTGGTCGTCATGATTTCCTGTGAAATAACATGCAAATATAAACTAAACATTTTTGTCCAGGCTGTCAAGAAATCCCCTGAACACCAATGTTACTGCATGTTGTTATTCAGTCACAATGAACCATTTGACCCCCCCCTTAGTTACTTTTGCTACGCCTGTCAAGCTTTCCACTCTGGCTGAGCACATGTGCAGTTCACAATAACTGTACCACCCGAAATTCTAAGTAATTTATTAAACAACGGGTCCCTGATTTCAGACGGAGGCAGACAAAAGTACAACGGTTGCTGGTAGATTTTAGAAGATGAAGCTAGCTAGCTAGTTACTTGTACTCATGACCACACCCAGCTGTGATATCGCATGGTGCTGTAGGGTTAGGGGCCACGAGACACCACTGCAGCACAGGCTGTGGAAAGAGCATGTTGTCATCACTAGTTGGCAGGGAGAGCCAACTTGTTAAGACTGGGTGCAGTCACTCTTTTAAGTGCAGAGCGTTGCTCACACTACAGCGCCATGCACAACATTTCACAAGTGAAGAGATCCAAAGCGTGACAGGCCTGTGGTGCCTCGTTACAGTTGCTAAGCTATGATTGGACAATTAGTGAACAGTCAGCAAGAACAAAAACATATTGACTGCAGGTCCCATCACTGAGTCCTGAAGTCAGTCCCCATTTCGTCACCGATACAGTAACTCCAAAATGAGTTTCTCTCTTGGTGAGATAGATAGATAGATAGATAGATAGATAGATAGATAGATAGATAGA